ACCACTACTAGTCTGACGCCATACAACTACTAGCCTGATACTTACCACTACTAGTCTGACACCATACAACTACTAGCTTGATACTTACCACTACTAGTTTGATACTTACCACTACTAGTCTGACACCATACAACTACTAGCTTGATACTCACCACTACTAGTTTGATACTCACCACTACTAGCTTGATACTCACCACTACCAGCTTGATACTCACCACTACTAGTCTGACACCATACAACTACTAGCCTGATACTCGCAACTACTAGTCTGACACCATACAACTACTAGCTTGATATTCACCACTACTAGTCTGACACCATACAACTCCTAGCTTGATACTTATCACTACCAGTTTGATACTTACCACTACTAGTCTGACACCATACAACTACTAGCTTGATACTTACTACTACTAGTTTGATACTTACCACTACTAGTTTGATACTTACCACTACTAGTTTGATACTTACCATCCAGTTTGATACATTACTACTACCAGTTCGATACCAATAAATACAAGTTTGATATACAGTCAAGTAACCTAATTTCGTGGAACCTATTATTCGTGGATTTCCGGAAAGGAATAATAATTTACATGAGCGACCTTGCGCGACCTCCGCTTTAGTTTGTTTTGATAAACATGGGTTTTCTGTACAATGTCAGCTAGTAGAATGAATTCAGTAGTTTCAAGCAAGGTAAAATGTATTAATGTATACTTTGACAAATACAAAATGGCGGTTATTACCAAACGTAACCATTTTTTATCGGCCGAATTTTCTTATCATCAAGCGGTAATCGGAATTCCAAGTGTCGTCTGCTAGAATGTAGTCCAACAAATGAAGTCACGTGATCAACTAGCGGATTCCGTGTCAGCAGACAATTTCTATGGAACAAAGTGGACCATATTCTTATGTTGTTTCAGTGACTTTTAGCAATAAATCACGCTACGTATCTTATTTTGCCAGTCACTATTTTTTTTAAATTGTGGTTCTTTGAAGAAATTGTCACTAGTTATCATGAATTGATATTAAAGATAAATACTAAGATAAGTTAATTATACCACTGGGTATCTATACAACATGTTTTTCTCGACTTATTTATAGATCATTGTACACGAAAATAGGTGACGCATTCTGCCGCCGTTGCCGAGTTGGTTGCTCGTGAAATATGGGTCAAAGTGAAGGATTCATAAAGAAAATCGAAATAAACCAATTTTAATTATTTTGTAGAATATCTGAGGAAATATCTAAGACATAAAAAAAAAAATTTCGTTTTTTTTAACCTTTTCTTAACATTTTAACGAAATTCGGTGTTGAATCCTTATATCCACGAAAATAGGTTACACCACTGTATACAAACACTAGTTTGATACCACAAAAACGGCATACGATGCATCTCTTTGTTCACTTGATTATTTTACTATTTTCTAAGATTGCTCATGTCTACTAGACGACCCATGGTACCACTCACTTATCTTTGTATATATCTCTTTCTCTTATCACTCTCTTTAATCTATTACCACAATCTCCATTTCAATAGTATAATATACAAGGACTTTGATTTACATGTATGTAACTTATATAAACTAGTGTCCAAAAGAAACGATACCACCTGTTTGCAACGACATAAAAGAAAAACTAAACAATGCAGAAGTTTAGGATTGGTGTTATGCTTTTGAGAAATCCTTTCACAACATCTGTACAAAAATTTCATTTCAATAAAATCCGTACAACCAATATGACAAGCCTTTAAAGATGGGTGGGGTCGAAAAAAGAACATTTCGTTAGAGCACTGATCACAGAAACAACGGGAAATGTCACACCACACGTCACAAAGTCAAGTCAATAGCGGGTATGTCCACCGTGAGCATCAATACATGCCAGAACACGCCTACGGACTGATGCCGTCAAACGTCTGATGACGTTGGGAGTGATTCGTTGCCATTCCTCGAGAAGACATCGTTCCAAATCTTGGACGTTGACTGGAGGCACACGGCAAAGTTGGATTTGCCGATCGAGGTGGTCCCATAAGTGCTCGATGGGATTCATGTCCGGTGAACATGCGGGCCATGGCAAAACCTGTACGTTTGCGTTGGCAAGGAAGTTCTGTGTCAATCTTGCTGTGTGTGGCCTTGCATTGTCATGTTGGAAAAGGAGTCCACGAGGCTGTTGCTGAATAAAGGGCACCACAACAGGCCGTAGGATGTCATCAATATAACGCTGTGCATTCAGGTTTCCACGAATTACGACAAGCCTCGTTTTGACGTCACCACATATGCCACCCTTAACCATTAAACCTCCACCTCCAAACGACCGGACCTGTTGGATAAAGTTAGGCGCCAAACGTTCACCAAATTGTCGGTATACAAGCTGCCGTCCATCGTTTTTGAAGATGAGGAATCTGCTCTCATCAGAGAACATAACACGTGCCCAGTCCCGTCGTTGCCAACGTCGAACTCGCCTGGTCTAGATCAGTCTGTTGTTCCGGTGTCGAGGCGTCAGGAGCGGTCCGCGGTAGGAATGACGTGGCCGGATACCATACTGCCGTAGTCTCCTGTAGACGGTCTGTCGACTGATCCTGTGTCCCAGTGCTGTAGCCGCCGTGGACGTCGCTGTTACGGTGCGGTTCCTCAGGTGTAATACCCGGATGTACCGAACTTAATGGTGCGTGGTTACTCGTGGTCTTCCACTCCTGGGCCTGTCTAAAGTCTGACCTGTCTGACGTAACCGCTGCATCAACCTGGTGATAGTGATACGTGCGCAGCCTAACCTTCTGGCGACGTCGACTTGTGTCGCTCCTTTGTGGACCATTCCAACGGCTCTCTCTCTCTCGATGGCTGTCAAAAGTGGCATATCTTGTGTTCTTTTTGTTGCTGTGATATCAACGTGTCTGATCAGCCGTTTTATACAGTTTTTATGCACGTGCAGAACATGCTAGACAGGGAAATGTCACTTTCACGAAATTTACGTTTTTTCCCGGAAGTGATCACGTGTTCCCGGTATTTTTATCGACTATGCTGTGTTTGGGATGTGCAATACGAATTGGCATGTTTTCATATTAGACAATTCACTTAGTAAAAAACAATTTTGAAAATAAGTTGGTATCGTTTCTTTTGGACACTAGTTTATGAAATATATTTGTGTATGTATGTATATTACTCAGCGAGGCAGATTTGAATAATCACTATGCTTTTTTCTGTATCGCATATATATATTTTGTACATTGTACCACTAAATTCACAATAAAGAAATATTGTTTAAAAAGAAAAAAAACCTTGTGTTGTATGTTGGTCTATAAACTTTCGCATGTAAAATTGTTCTAATGTACCCATGAGAAATCGAAACACGTGCTGTATGCTTTCGTATCGTCAAAACTCGTTTCCCTTCTTACACAGATATTGTGAATATTTCTAGTACCGGTGTGTCGCCTTATTATTTGCGAGAACTACCAGCAACCATGTTGGCTTTTGACAGTATTTTTCTGCCAGGTTTATTGGAGATTTAGAAAAGACCATTGTCTGAGCAAGATGAAAAGTTTTTGAATTTTTTATACATTTTAAGAAAACTGGGATATCATCCTTGAAATAGTACTGTTAGTCTTTGCGTTGATAAAAATATAATTTTTATTTGGATACGCTGAAAAGACACATTTCAACCCCAAAGAGTCCCAAATTTTAGCTGAAAAAGATACCTTGAAGACATAATGTGAGCTCATGTTCATATTTTTTGTCAACGCAAAGATAGTCTAAGACTAACATTACTATGTTGAGACTACTATTCCAATTATCATAAAAATAATGAATAAAACTCTTTTTTTTTTCCTTATTCACACAATTATATAGTAGTTTTAAATGGTTGCCATGACAGACGCCGACAAGTCATTAAACATTGAAAACTACAGAAAACATTCAAAGACTTTAAAACCATGAATAAATATGCCTAAAAAGGCTTCTATTGTTTGAATCGTCTGATAAACAATAATAAACATTGAATATATAATAATATCTATTCTTATCATAGAAAAGGAAGATTTCCAACTAATAGCTCCAGGGCTTAGGATTAATCAAGAACTGACTAAATCACATGACCCAATTTATTCTATTCTTTAAGTCATCAAACCTTAATAATGGACCTAGGTCATCAAAACCCCATTTTGATACAATTGACATCACTTTTGATGAAATATAATACAGAAATACTTATCCATATTGTATAAAAACTGGTTTGAACTGACCCAAATCCGAAGCCAGCACTTCTATTAGGGTATAAGACCCAAACAACAAAAATCCGCCCAACTGGAAGATATCATTAGTGTGAAATGGGTACTGGTCAAATTAGTTATCGGGAATTTCCTTACAGCGGACCGAAATTAATGAATTTGTTCGTAATCTATACTTGACGGGGTTGGTATAGAATTCCAATTGATTATCTGGGCAAACCTGAAGTAAAATATAATCGATGTAGTTTAGGGAATAGAAAGTCATTTCTTTCATTATGTTAAAAAAAAACAACTCATAACCGAAATTCTTGTCGGCAGCCTTAATTGAGCTCTTGCCTATTTCTGTCTTTGCTTCGTTAAGGCAAAAATAATACATAGAATTTACTTGACATATTATACATGGTGTATAATTAAAATAATAATTTGAAAACAGAAAATGATACAAAGAAATTACTAATGAGAATAATAATCAATATTTAGGCTATATTTCGTTTATATTACAATAACTGTAAGCACCCAGCTCAAGTACAACTTGTATCACGTTCAAGCAATATGATATAAGTATGATATAACAACTTTGAAAAGTAACATTATCTTGGGGGGTAAATTTTCCCATTATGATTGAAACTTTATATTTTGAATGATTGGATTTATCATTGAAGGCAAAGTAAGCAAACGTTTATTGAATATTGAAACAAGTGTATAAAAGTTGTTGGGATTAAATTATTGGACTTAGGATGAAACCCTTCTCAGACACAGTAACGGATGTGGCGGGAACTGTTCATTGGGGCCGATCAAAGCCAAACATTGTTTTAAAGATTTTTAAAACACCTTGCCATACAACCATTGCTCGGTTTAAATTACTAGCAAAATCACCTGAAATACATAAATATAAAAGAAAATTGAAGTTTAGATCACAGACAAAGCATCCTTGTGAACTGTCCAAAAGAGAGGGGGTTGACAAAAATGCTTTCAATGGACTCAATATGTATTAATTAAATCTAAATTATATAATACTCGCGAGTATTTATTAGTAGGTATATCTAATCATTATAAAGTAAACTTACCATACTGGGTTTGAATAAATGCAAAAATAGCGAGAGCTGTCATCAATATAATCTTCCAGATTTGAAATAATTTATCTTTGGTTAATTGACTATACCATTGTCTTAATTTACAACTTCCATATTGTATCACAGTATCTTCAAAATAACAGACAAAATTCCATTTTTTCATTAATGAAATCTTAATAATAATTATAAACTCTTTATTTTACAAGGAAAGAAAATGAATGAAAATCAAGCTAATGTGTTCTAAAAGAGGATAGGCGACGTTGTTTGAATTAGATCCAGGATAATGAGACCATTTCATGGAAGTGACCTTAATGTCAATTATCATAACAATGGCATGCAAGATCAAGTTATCAACATGTGCCTTGCTTGAGCATAATTAATACACTGGTACAACCTGTCAGAAATTAACTTTTCTGTAAACCCGCATCCCCTATGAATCAACACAAGCCGAATCACTTTATCATTGTTAGAAGTAAAACCTTCATAGACTGGCACCACAATATTTGAAAGTAAAAAATTACCAAATGGATTGTTGCTAGTTTCTTCTAATGGATTCGGATAACTTTGATCAATATCATCATCACCATGTGCAGCTTCTGGTCGGTTCGAATCATTAATACTTCCAGAGTTCTTATTTCTCATACGTTCATTTTCACGAACATTTTTACACTCTTTTAATTTCTGAGTCAATTCAAGCTTATCCTTTGGGGACAAACCTTTAAAATTGTTCAGCATTTTTATAGTATGAGATGAGGATTTTATAGGTGCAATAATCTGTAGGATGTAAACATTGACAACATCTCTATAGCCTACTAATTGATGATTGCTTTCACAACTTGTCCATATCTTGGCCAAGGCGTGACACTGAATATATTCTTTTACTCTGGCGTGCAAGAGAAGGCTTAAAACACAAAACGACATGATTAATTGCTAATGGACAATGGTATTAAGATGTCAATTCCAGTTGAAACAAGAGTAATTTTGGCAGAAAGGTGAACGCAAAAAATAAGTCAACAAAATTTATGAATCTCTTCCTTGCAATATTATACAAATTAGATTTTCAGAAAAAATTTGACTTATTCTGATTGATCAATCACATAAAGCTAGTTTTATGCAAAAATCAAATTACTTCTGCTTTATTTCTTACAATTTCAAGTTAATTTTGGTTCCCAACGTTTGGAATTTTTAAAATGTATCGATGTGTCATAAGCAAACGGTAATTGAAAATTGAAACTGGCTGAACCAAAATTTCACTAGTTTTGGTAGATGTTTCAATTCTCTATGGCCAAATGAGTCTTCTGTTGAGGGAGAGGTACCAGATGGATCTCAACCAAGGTGTCATGAAATGCCCCATACAGTGTATTCTTACAACAATCAAGAGGAGATATATAATTAAACTTTTTACCATATTTGCATGACTTTTGGTGGGCAATTTTCAATTTCACCGTAAGTTTTTCTGACAAACGGAATAACTTCTGTCCATTTATTCAGCTCAGCAATGGCTTGAATTGATAAAATAACAGCTGTGTCTATTATTTCATTTCTGAAAGTAAAAGGTCAAATTCGGCTATAGTCCAAAAACCATTCGATCCGATCCTATGCTTTCTAAATACTTCGTAGCCTACTCGAGCCGACCACCGTCAAAATCGATATGTTTCAAACTACAAAATACTTTACCATGATTAGTTCGAGGATTCAAAGAGGTTTCCAAGAGTTTTGAATAAATTTGAATACCGTTCATAAAATATAATATAATATATTATAAAATATAATTTTAAATATTATAGTTCAAGTTCTAGTCAAACAACATTAGGCCCAGCATACCATATCTTATTCGAATCGGATGAAAACTCTCCTTTCATCTAGGTACAAGCTCATTTAGACTGGTTTTTGCTCAGTCAAGGGCAATAATTCAAACATCATTCATCGAAACATAGACATGTTCAAACATATACGAGATCTTACCAATCTGAACATCAATACCAATTGTCATCAAATTCAGATGAAACTGTTATGATTATTATCTTGTTATGATTCTGACCCATTTTCCGTTCATCGGCACTCATTCAACACATAATCAGTCCAAGTTTTATTAAATCCACATGAAAGATGTGGCCCCGATCGTGCTAACAAGATATTTGGACAGGCGGACTAGGTTGAAGATAAAATACATTCAGAGTTTCATTTGGTGAGTCTATAAAAGAGTATAACAAAGATGGTCTAATCTGCTAATACACAATGGTACAATGACAGTTTTGTGTTCAGAATGGTTTGTAATCTTAATTAGACTTCAGTCAAATAAAAAAACATCTGAGAATTCATAGTAATTTTATAAGTTAAAAAAGTAATTAGATAATTCAAGGACGATTGATCTCCAGTTATCAATAAATAATGTTTCATTATGAATCAGGAAGTTTAATTAGGTCTTAGAGCCCACTCTACTCTTACTTTGATTCTTTGATCGAGAAAAATCAATATGAAAAATAGACATATTCTGTTCAGTTGAAAAAGCAGCTTGAAAACAAAGAAAATGTCAGGGAAATAAAATGATTCATAAAAGCACACTTATCTCCTATTTCAGAACACATTACCAACGTGTTTCAGTGTGACTTATAAATTCATTATATATAATGTTCCCAAGATCCAGGAATTGAAACAGGTAAACAATATTGGTCATTGTAGCTAAATTATCACTAGGTTTTAAAAATTAACCGATTTCAATTATACCTAATCGAAGAATAGATAACTATTTTGACCATTACGTCAATATATATGTATGTAGGTCTGCTTGGAGTGATTACTAATTACCTAGGCCCAGGGTAAAAGTTAAATCGACTAAATAGTTGATCACATGATTGCAGTCATTTTCCCTGTAAAAGGACAACAACTCGATTTTTTTGTCCAATCGGCTGATTTCCATTGTCACCCAATCTGGTTAAAATTAGATTACACTTTCGTATCTGTTTTTGCATGAATATTCATTGGAGAATGGTCATAGTAACCCCATTTGATGGAACTACTGCAGAAGAAGAAGTTGACAATGAACTTGTTAATATTTCAAACGCTAGGTTCATTCAACCCGTCTACAATTAACTCGTCAACAAACTGAGTTTTTGGAGTTAACTGGTATTCTGCATTAAGACAGTCAAGCTTGATAGATATAAAAGAATTTAATGGGCAATAATATTGTGAATGTTATCAAATTTAAAGCTGCTTACAATCTTGAGGTGATTTCACTCGAACTGGGACTGGAGGAACGATGTGTTCGCTGGGGAGGTAAACTGGAGTTTCGGGGTGAAAACTCAATAGCTTCTTTTCCATCATTAATTATAGTTTTACACAAGTCTATACATTTCTCAAAATGTTTATCAATGAGAAGGCCCTTTACAATTTCAACCTTCTCGTGCTGTCTTTCAATGAAAATGTTAATTTCTTTCGAATCGTGAAATTTTTGTAAACAAACCGACGCCATTTTGTATATCACGTGACAATCTACATAACCTATTCGATTGTACTGTTTAAAACAATACGTAACCAATAAGATTTCAGTTAAAATTATAACTAATGTGACTGTTGTGTCCTATTCAGTTTGCTAACTAAGTTTGCTTGCCATTATTTGACAGTTTACATCTATTCCAAAACTAGTTATCCTGTTGAGGATTTTTTTTTTTATCTGTATGTGTATTGTGTATTTATCAAATTTGTATTGGCAACATGAAATAAGATCTAGTCAAATAGAATAACAACAAAGAAATAATTGACATTGCATCTTTATTTATCCAAGTTAATTATTGGCATATACAAATGGACATGTACACATAAAAAATACATATTCATAATAAATGCATGTATCTTCATCACATAAAGGTTGCCAACTAAAAAATAACTTCACCACAATTTATCAAAATCCTGATAAATTTAGAATCGGATAGTTCATGGATTAAAATTGAGACAAGTTTTCAGTCCGCTGTAGCTTTTCTGTACCAGAATCTAGCTCTACAGTCATCACTACATGACATAAAGGCTGGGCCTGTTGGTGAGTGAACTATACTTCGTACTACGCCATTATGACCTAAAATATACAAATTATCAAATAATATTTAATGGAAGGGCCACAAATCATCTAATTAATTACCTTTAACCTGTTAGTGTAAATTTTCAGGCATCTGTATCACTATGTCACAAAATCTGCTTTCACCACAATTAAACGCAAGTAATGTGGAAGTATAGACTGTCATCAGTATCAGGTTATAGGGGATAGGGAAGAATTGATCTGCATGTGAGAATATTATAATGTTCTAGAGTTGACAACAGTCTTCATCTTCTTGCATAAATCTGCTTTTTATTCAATTGCAAGAAAACCAGTCAGATCTTATTCATTTATGTAATTAAATTGAGCTTTATCAGACAACCTTTTTACATGTGTTTCTATTCTACATATATTGAGATAATGAGATTTTTTTTATCAAACTAATTTTCTCAACTCTGTGCCTCCTTATACTTCTAAAAGCTTTCTGGTGTAAACTTACCTAAGCCTAGCAATCTTTGACGTTCAGCATTTCTTGAATCCCAACAACATAAACTTGTGGTCTTCTCATCAGGAAATAAAACTATAATATATAAATTGAAAGAATTATAATCATAGCTGAAATCATTTTGGTTGTACATGTTATTTCTTTCCTAAGTCAAAAGCATAGAAAATATGCTACACACTCATCTTTTGGATTTAAACTACTCTTACTCCATTGTAATCTTACTGTATTTCTACCACAATCCCATTCTTATGTTCTAAGGTAATCGAAAAGTGTCATGTAGAATCGGTTTCTTGATAAAATAAAAAACTAAATTTACCATAATCTTCAGTATGATTAAAAGTAGCTCTAGTACGATGGTCCATTCTACCAGTAGCTCCAGCACCAGTGTATACTATTAAACATCTATTGGTTGACAGTTCCCATAATTTAACTAGTGAATCTTTACCACTAGATAGTACATACTAATCAAAAAACAAAATAAAAACGTGATGGTTTAATGGACCATCTGAATCTCTGTAGATGGATCTTGCTGTGTGCAAGAGATAATGCACAACATCGTCTCAATACATAGATGCTGAATCTTTGATTTTGGAAATTCAGATTCAAGATGCAAAAAAGCAATTGTGAGTTATTGTCCTTTTTCTTTTCTTCCAGGACACAAAGTAATAAATAATCTACATATTTCATATACATATGATGCATTTTTTGGTAAAAGTAAATCAAACAAAAAGTAAACTTTTGTAGACTAAAAGTCAATTACATAGAATAATCTGGAATATTTATATTTTTTTCACCTTAGAATTCTTTGAAAAAACAACAGATGTGACTTCTTTAGAATCATGAGCATTTTTAAAAGTATTAAAACATTTTAAGCTGACTCCATCATAAAGTTTGATATCACCATCTTTACCACAGGTTACAAACATTTTACCATTTGGAGCCCATTTTACCTGCAATATAATAATAACAAAGTTTAAACAAGAGTTTCTGGTAAATAGCTGCATGGTAGATGACAAAGTACTGTCTGATTTCAGCAGAAGCTAATATTGTTGTTCCAGATTAAGATCCTACTACTAACTACCAACAACTTAGTCTGCGATATCAGCCAAGCAAGCCCAAATTAATACTTCAATATTCATAAATTCTACTCAATATATTATTAAGAAAAGTTTATCATCTCTACCACCAAAGTTAGCTGTTTAGATTGTAAGATAGACAATAGTAATTACTACAGTAAATAACTATCGAGGACTTACATCTGTGACAGGAGCTGAATGTTGATATATTGGATCATTGGCTACGTAACTTTGAAATGTATTAACATCATATAATCTTACTGTAATAGAAAAAACATTCTTTTTTACCAAAAAATATTTCTAATTCAATTGTATCAACCAATCAAATAGTTGCATGTACTAAAATTCAAAAATTTAAGCTAAAGTTTTCTGAAACATTTCCCAGCGAGTTAGTATCTACCATTTCTGGTGGGTTAGTTCTTAATTATCCCCAAATCTTATTAATGTTATGGTTACAAAACGCTACTGATTAATTTACACTATCAGTTCAGTGTAAACTTTTTAAATACATTTTTAAAAGCAATTAGGAAAAGCAACAATTTTAACAAGGAAAAGACTTAAATTCTTAAGCCACGAATAGACAACGGTGCGGACACGATTCTTTCATTCTTTTTTCTACTGTATCGAAAACTCCGCACCTGTCTATTCAACTTACAGTATTCTGACTACAGTTAATCCTTGAAAGATTTTAACTTACATGTAGGATGATTGACACCAACTAGTAGAAAATCTCCAGATGGATGAAATGATAAACATCTTATAGGCTGTACTTCCTGAAAATAAAATTCATGGTAAACATGGTATTGACAGTAACATATAACAAATATATATTCTTATATTATAATTGTAAATTTAATGATTTCTAGGGGTAAAGAATAAATTTCATTTTTACATGTGAAGTCAAAACCAGATAATCCAAAGAAAAGAGTTTCACCCTAAATTCAACTCTGATAAATTCATAAATGTACAAAAGTTGACTCACCTGTATACTTTTATAGGCTTTTTTAACAGAGGGTTTGGAATACTCAAATAATTTGACTGTATAATCTTTACTACCAGAGGCTAAAATTTGCTCAGTTGGGTGAAAATCTAAACAGCTAATTTCCTAAAATAAACAAAAAAACATATAAAAACTTACACTGCTGATGTGCTTAATATATGAAATGAATTCTTGAATAAATATCAGAACAGATGATTTCCTTAAATCTATCGAGGAAATTCCTAAAAAAACAAAAAAAAACAGGAAAATCTCGAAAAAAAAAGTGAACGGCTGATTTCGTATAATCTTTGTAAAGTCTGTCAATTTAGCTACAAATCTTCCCAATCGTGAGATTATGATTGCTAGAATTGATTATACATATCTTACTGTGATTTTATAATGGTGCAATAAATAAACTAATACATACATCATTGTGATCATATAGCGTTCTTATAACAGGATGGTTTTCCATTTGTTGTTGTGGTGTTTCCATGGCAATCAGTTCTGGTGGTGTGGCACTTTTTGCAAGCATTCTCTCTACATCTAATATCTGTAAAAACACATAAACTCATCTTTAACATTGCAGAACAAATAAATTTAACACTTGTTCAACTCTTTAAGAGCTAATATTTTCATCAAGCAATAAATATTCTTCTTGAGCCATTAAAAACTTGATCCACATGGTTTTGACCAGTTCTCCAAAATATGATCAGAGAAATATTTACCTTTATAGAAGCATCTTCTGAACCTGTAGCTATCAACTGACCTGAAATTAAAACATCTCACAAATTTTACTAAGATTAGGCTAGTTTGCTTATTGTACATTCATGATATTGCTTGTCCTCATTCAGCCAATAATGTGAAAAAGAGAAGAATGACTGATATAGTAAAATCTGAATAATCAAATGTAGTCTTATCTGAAGAAAATCTTACCAGAATGATGAAATGTAGCAGCTCTACAGGCAGCTTTGTGTGCAGTAACATAACATGTTTCATATAGGGCAGCTTCAGCTGATATTGACTGTACTGTAATAAGACAAGAATGTGGATTATCATGATATGTTCATCATATCTCTATCACAAAACCTTTAGAGTTCAAATATACCACAAATATCAATGAATAGTAACGTCAGCATGCATCTCTCATCAGATATCCTGTGGCCACTTCATAATCAGAAGTATAGATTTGCCAGTGAATATGTGTAAGCTTAAATTGTAATTCTTTCACATGTAACCTCGAGAAGAAACATCCACTTGACCTTACAACTTACCTTCAGTTTCAAATTCTAGATCTATACCAGAGATTGGGGCTACAGCAGTTTTATTTGCTTTTTCATTTCTTTCTGAAAAGATCAAAAATTTTTGTTATAATTAAAATAAAGGTGTATATGAACTATATTAGCTTCATAACATATTAGACAGTCGTCTCTTAAAACTGAATAATCTAACTACTGTTACTTTTGAATATCTTGAAGGACTGCTATTGTTGTTAACCAAGGATTTATCGTTCAGAACCTAAATACAATTGTTTATAGTGTTTTCCATCTTAAACCACCAGTAAGAGCTCATTTCAGGATCTCTAATACTAGGCCTGATACCTCTTTAAAGCAAATCACTATGGCATTGGCAAGGGTTAATAAGCATTTCCCTGGTTATATCTGAGTAGTCCAGCTTTGTAGGCCTAGCATATACAAACCTTCCTCTAACTGTAAAGATAACTGTGTTATTTGTAATAATCTATCTGATGGTGGACATGTTGGATGTGGTTTAAATATCTCACACAGTTTAAATGCTGCGTCTTTAAAACCATCATAAAATAACTGACTGAAAATATATGTACAAATTCATCATTAGGCCTACAAAGGCAAACATGTCGAAATCTTGAAAAAAAGATCTAGCCTGGTGGGCTATGGCTATTATACTATGTGTTTTTCCAGTCATAAATTCAATTACCGGTACTTAGTTGTAACTTAGTTAGTGGCCTATATGCATTGGTTAGCAGGTAAATTAAAATAAAAATTATCCTCAAATACCTGATAATCAAGCGATATAACTGATCTCTTCTTCTTATTTCTAGCTCGTCTTTTCCTTTGCTCGGTTTAGGCATTGTTATTGTGTTCTGACAGGTCCTTTTCTAAATTATTCACCAATGTTTTACCTAGTTTGCAGTCATACAGTAGGAAATTCGCAAATCACAGACGTGATGCGTTCGATGATAGTGTCTAAAATGTAACCAGAGGGTAACGAGTATAATACGTACCCTCAAAACTACAAAACATAATTAATAATGATTATCTCCCTTTGACCACTCGATCAGTTCTATGATTTATTTTCTCGCAGACTCAGTGTCGTACGATACTACGAAGACCAGGATAATTTAAACTGGTCTGCTAATGTGTAAAAAGTATGGTTGTCTCCCTTGGATCACAGACTACCAATTAGCAAGGGAAAGCATCTATTTAACCCGAGACAAAACTTACAGAACCTAATATGGACTCACTCCACTAAAACATTTTATAGGAATGTAGTCCAGGCTATTTTTAGAAATCTTCTTTTTCTCTCCCTTTTGGGGTTTTTGCCTGCCTATTTTTGGGTAAAATTTGGTCTAGATTTGGAATTTGATGTCTGAAATTGCATTATCTTTCAGATTTGGTGAGATGATGAGAGACTTAAAGGCGGAAGGCTAATTCTAAAAATAGTCGTTTTGTGAAGTGCCAAACTCTAGCGGATGAGTATAACCGGTAGTAGTCTACTTTCAATTTTAGTAGCTCAAAATTTTCATGGTCATCATATAATGAATTTTTTAGGAGACATTGAGAATTGGTCAGGCTTTCATTCGACATGTTGGAAAGCTTTCAACGAGATTTCTGGAAAAAGTTATAGAAGGTTGAATTTCGTGTTTTAACATGGGAAGAGATGGCAAATGAATTAGTGGAGTGAGTCCATATAGGTTACTCTTATACACAAGCCTCTTAAACCCTATAGCGACTTAGGCAATGCGATTTTTGACAGTAAAACAATAGTGCAAGTAGTGCAACCTACTTTGTGATAGGCCTATGCCACTTGCACAGATCAACCCTCGTCACCCTTTGTTCAACTGTTTTAAAGACTGACGATTAGTGCATATATCTGACCTACATTTTGTTCTACCCACAACCGAATATTGTCACACCCATACAAAAAGGCCAAACCAGATAGGTTTTTTTTTACCATAGAATGACCACTAATTCTGTTAATTTCTAACATTATTTTGTTAAAAGTTAAATTTTTTCTAAACTTAAAAAAATGAAACTGTTTTACAATCGTTTTTTACGAGTCCTAACCTACAAATCTACAGGTTAGCTTTTGAGACAAAGATTCATACTCTGCTGATATTTTGCGTTTGTTGTTTTCAATAGGCATTTCAACATTGTTTTGAATTCCAGTCCAATTAAAATTAGCCCGATCTTTCGTTCCGTTTTTTGCTAACTTTTTTTTTTCATTTAGCCACTTCCGTTAGGGTATAACTACGGCCTTCTTGAGCATTTGTCAGTTTGATGACACCACCAGACAATCAAATTCCTGCTGGGATTTAGTGACGTGAACAAAAAGTGTATAATTCTGAGCCTTAGACACTGAATTTACCTTTTGTTCGCGTCACAAAAATGGGGAGGACAGGGATTTGATTGGCTGGCGGTGTTATCAAACTGACGAATGTTCTAGAGGGCCGTAGTTAGACCCTTCCTGAAGTGCCCAAACTAAAAACAAAAGTTAATAAAACGCGGAACGAACGTTTGGTTAATTAGACTGTTTTGAATTCTTAAAGTTTCTTTTTGCATAAAAGCGGAATAAGGCCAATTCTTGCTTTTTACTGCTTTATCCAGATTCAGCTACGCCTATATAGAAAACAAAAAAAGCTGACGATGTATGTTTATTAAAAGTTGATATAATTATAATTATGAATAACGTAAATGGTCTCTCATTTTCTTTTTTAACATAAAAAACCCACTTATTTTTTGAAACTCTACAAAGTGTCAAGTGAAAAGGAAATAGATCATTATTTATATGGAGACAAAAACTTTACAAAGGAAATAAAACTAGCACAGGGTCAAGAATCAGTGAGTATATTCTGTTTAACTTCGGGTTATCTTGAAAAGCCATTCATACTCTCCAGGGTTTAGTATCCTATTTTGTTAGGTAAAGGCTCTAATTTCGCTTTAGTCTGCAGGTCCAAAATGGTCATACGCACTTCAAGTTATAATTTGGCCGACGTTCCAATGCATGCCAGATGAGATACATGTATAGTAATGTTGTATTAGTAATGTGGATGTACGAGTATCTAGCATCGAAGCTTGGACAATCACAGAAAGAATTTAAAAACTACAAGAACGCTTATTACTGCCACCTATCCTTCAACATTATTGTTGCATTGATCCCCTCGCCCCTCCTCCCCGCCCCACTGGTATAAGAGACAATGGATATGAAGATACATTGCTGAATATTAGAATGCACTATAATCAAAAATGACAGCGTTTATGTCTTTCAGTCTAAAAATGTCTAATCATTTGAAAAAATTGTCGGATAAAACAGTTACTTCTTCCACATAGATTGATAAAAAATAACACAAAATTTGGAAAGCATTAGCATTCCTCGAACACATTACCCCACAGCAGTATTTTGAGTTTTGGTTTAGAGGATGTTACAATACGTAAGCGGTATCTCAGATTGTCTGAAGATGCGGAAGCATTAGTGAATTCTCTACCTAATCTATTATAACACAGTTTTAGTAATGTTATTGATGTGTTTTTCTCTAGCACATCCAAAAGTTTCGAGAAACCATCATTGGTGATGCCACACATGTTAAGTCCAATAGTCCTCAGAACAGAGCTTCTTTCTAACGCATTGGCTAGCTTGAAAACACCAACGTCAGTAATGAAGTTGACGCTTAAATCAACGTGTTTGAGCTGTTTACTTGCAGAAATCATTTCCGCCAATTTATGGCACCCAGCAGACGTAATACCACAATTTTCCAAATTTAATTCAATCACAGCCGATTGTGGAATGTAGCGACTTAACACCTCGACTCCACTGTCTCCCAGGAAATTGCGACTCAAGTCGATTTCAGTAAGGTTTAAGTTACGACTAATTCCTTCCATAAGAGAACAACAACCGACCCATGTAATGTTGTTACTCCTCAGTCTTAGTTTTTGTAGCGCAGGATTGGATTTCACCATGTCTTTCAAGTTTTCGCAACCATCATCGCCAATGTCTAAGAAACTAAGATCTAACTCAATAAGAGACTTATTCAAAGCTATAGCACTAGCCAAAGCTTCGTATCCAAATTGATCAATTCCGGTGGAGGATAAGTTGAGGTCACGTAGATGGTCGTTTTCCCGCAACATTTCTCCCAGAGCCTCTACACTTCTTTTATTTAAAGTATTTAGTCTGACGTCAAGTGTTTGAACACTGGAATTCTTGATCATACCTTTAAAAATATGACCCAGATCATCGCCCTGTAGTTGAGTCTTTCCTATTTTGAGTTCCAATATACTATCAGTTGTGCTCAGGAGTCTACCAAGAGCATCAGCTCTCCGACCACTAAGGTTGATCCCAGAAATGAACACGTTTATAACCGTAACATAGGAATCATCAATACTGCTCCTGGAACCGGTTTCAGAATCGAAAATAGAAAAATCGGAATGTCGGGAATTTCTATAACTGTTTCGATTTTCGCTCCTCGCTTTCTCAAGCTCTACAAGTGGTTTTATAACTCCCGTATCCTTCTGGAGAAAGGAAATTTCAAAAGATATTCTTTTTTCGTCGTCGAAAATACTATGATCGGTGTTATAACTTGCTGGGATTTCATAACATATTCTATCAATTTCTTGCATTACATCAAGCATGCGCATTATATCATCAGTGTCGTCTGCTTGGCGTAAAACGCAACAAAAAGCGCGAAATTTCGAAAGTTCCCCGTCACTAATGATGTGTGCTATATTATCACAAATTAACCTACGGTCCGGATGACCTTTAAAGGCCTGATAATCAGATTCACTTATAACACGAGTCTCTTTCAGATTATCCAGAAGAGGAAATGGATTGAAGCGTTGAGTCAATAAATCCGCGACACTTTGCATAATCAGTTTTTGTCTGGTGACGTCACCTCTTTCACTTGACTTTCTGCGATTCCTGATTGGTTTCTTTGGCGTGAGGTCTGGACTTACTATTTTGATCTTAGAATAAGTGTTCTGACTAGAATCGGTAGAAGAAATTGTATGATTTCTCTCCTTCGGGAGCGATTGCGACTTAACCTTGTCATTGTTATTATTTTCTTGATCGACCGACTCAAGTAAAGTATTGGCATTCCCCTTTCCTTCTTTATCTACTATACTTTTAGTTTCCTTTTGAGAATCTATTAAATTGGACATAGCTATCCCTGTACTGTTTTCGATTGCGGATACACTTCTCTTCGGAGACACGCATTTGACTGACTTGTTTTCAGTCGCAGATGAACTACGCTTTGGCTGAAAACTTTGAAATATGGAACTTCTCAAAGAACCGCTGGATGAGGAGCTCCTATGCGTATTGATAGAAGAAGACCGAAACAAGAACAGCCTTGGTGGTTTTGGTGGTGGTTTTAAACTGTTGGTACGTTTTAGGTCTGTTTTATCGACCACATCAGGTAGGTCGCTATTCAGGGGGGTTAAAGCGTCGTTATTTATATCGTCGTCCCTCCAAGGCTCGTGGATTATGTCACCTTTCTCCTTGCGATCACCGCGTTTCGATGAAAGTTTGTGCCAGAATTTCCATGTTGGGTGATTATTTCTTTGTGGTGATCCATGATCTGAAAGTAGAAATGGAGAACTTTAAGAAAGTTGGTTGCACATGGTTTAGATAGGCAGGAGGTGCACAAGTTGGTATATAGTATCATATCAGTGAATATATTATTACAAAAAAATAGATGGACCCATTTATATTATTTTGAGTGTCATTAACCATATTATATATTTAAATCAATAAAAATTCAGGTTTATTTTTATGTTAGCTATTCATATTTTTGTAATTGATATATTTTCAAACGCTACATACGTTGTTTTTATATTCACTACTATTTATATTTGTGTATGTCTGTGGAACATAATTTCAAAGCTTTTAGTGTGCCAAATTATAAATATATATTTGGAACAGGTAATTTAATTTCAATCCATTACCCGAGAGTTTCGTTTCTGTAAGTGAATAAACACTTAAAGAAAGTGAGGAATCATTATCAACATGATCTCGTCATGTTTGAAGCCAATCCACAAAGGCATATCAAAATGATTGAGTAAACACTAAATGCATATAGTTGATTGCTTATCATTTTAAAATGATACAGAACAAATATTATGCAATAAGTAGAACAGACGTATTCGCTTATTTAATTCTATTTGAGCTTTAGAAAGTGGCACCCTAATCGAATGTCGCATATTATAGCCGCTATTGGTGTAGGGAATATTATCAAGTTTTGTTAATAAACATTAAAAATTAATAGATATCACACGTTTGTTAATGAACATGAGTCATCGGATCGAGAAATTACGGAAGAATAACATTGTAACCGAAAATGAATTATTACATTTTGCTGATGTCCACAATGTACAAAAAGGTGCTAGAAAACAACATGAATATTCAATACGAAGACCCAACAGAACATACCCAGTCTGAAAATAAAGGATTCTTATTCCAATAAAGTTGAGTAGGATAAGCTTATTCACTGAAGTCCAAAAAATCAGATATCAGATAATATATTTGCATTTGTTGTAAAAAAAAAATTGTTTTAATAAATGTTAGAATACTGGTCTAATATTGATTAAGCCACAAATTAATTAATATCATTAATTTCTACGAGTCTAATATCATAAATATGGTAAATTGTCATGAAATGGTCAGTTTCTGGCCTCAAGCCAAGTATAGTCTAATACAGCAGCTGAATCGACAGTTTTTTCTCTGTCTGATTATCGATTTCCTCTAGCCTTGACAGCTCAACCTTCTCTTCAATATCCTTCTTAAGACACACTCAACATTAACATGATTGCTCTGTTGTAATTAAACGGACGTTACCATATTATTTAAACTAAGTCCATAGAAAATGTTTGTATTTAAGGGACAGTAATAGAAGGGCACAAATAATCAAAATAACATGCAGCCATGACACTTAGAATCAGAAGAATTGTGTAAATGAAGGGGGTAAAAATGCGTCCAATTTCAAGTCTTGAAACTCATGATCAATTTGATGAATAAATTTGTTACTTCCAAATTCATGTCTTGAAACTGACAAAGAGTACTAAGTTTGAAGTAATTGTAATCGTGAACCGAGCAACACTATTTCGTATGTCTGAAGCCTGTTAAAATGTGTCTTTTTGTTTTGCAGGAAGCGTGTCTAATTGAACGTTTTAAAATGATCGCCAAGCAATATCATTGCTACCATATGTACGTATAGCTAGCTAACTTCATTATTAAATCAATGAAATAATCAATAATGATGATATAAAATAAATATAAATATCGTATATTTGTTTTACCAAGTATATCTAACAGGACTGCCAGATATTCATGCAATTTCTTTTATCAATGGTTGCGAACAGATTGATTTACATCTACAGGGAATAATTATTCTATTTCAAAGGAAAAGAATGAAGAGTTTAGTGTGCTAACTGAACTGAGGTTATGTTTATTATTCTGAGTATTTTAAGTATACTAATTGGCGGTATAATTATTACAAAGAACAAACCTTCGAGCCAAAATATTAAAAGGGATGTGTTTGGTTAATGAACGCTGTTGAATATTAAGAATATATTCCTAAGTAGTTTAATTTCAGCTATTAACATTTAAACAGTCGAAATGTTATTATAGTTGCATTGTTCAGAAGAATATTAAAGACATTTCTGACAATGATGATTGGGTCTCATGAAGTTTGTACTGTTAAGTACCTGGAAAGATCATCGTACATTTACATTGTTGCCAAAATAGTTCACGTTATGAGCAGAGAATACTTTCTAAAAGAAACGCCGAATTTAACCCTGAAACACTTTAATTTGAATATAAGTCAATTAAAATGGTAACAATTTCATTAGAGTTGCAGTGTTCAGGAAAACAAAGCAATGATCTAGTCATCTAGTGCCTGACATATATTTTTTACTGTTTCTGTACGACAGGGTATCATTCAGAAGGTAATCTTCGTTCATGTACATTGTAATTCAAATTGGACCACCAATTGGTACACCTTGTGCTCAAGATCAGAGCAGATTAGCTTAATGGGATGCCACTGGAAAAGAATTGCAAAATCTGGCCTTGAGCAAGGCTGGAAACAACATTCCTTAGCATTTTCTATGAAGACCCGCACCTAACATAACGAAAATAGACTGACACGATGAGGTTTCTCCATTTCAAAGGAGGTGAAAGGCTTGGAAAAGGTCAAGTGAAACTCAGCCAAATGTTCTAGAGTTACTTTGACAAAAGATTGCTCCATAAAGTTCTAAACCATTATCTCATACATGTAATTTCTTTTCATGGCTCAAGTTGAAATGAAAATATCAAATGCAGTAAGTTATAGTCCATAAATTTAACTGGTAGAAGTCAGAATACCGAGAGTCAAGCTGACCAGTAAGATTGCGGTGCTAACAACGCACCAACTACAGTGAACAAAATGAGGAAAGTGTTTCTTGCTCAGGGGAATCGAAACCTGGTGGTATCTAATTGCTTTCAGAATGTCGTACAGATTTAATAAAAGTACGCCTTTTCTCGCCACATGGATTTCCTGAATAATTTATTGTTAAGTTATATTACAATTTACCCGTACAGAATTAAAAGCGATGCCGAGAAAATAAAAACAGTGAAAGCAATTGATACTTAAGCGGTTGTTAGCTTTTGACAATATACAGCTAGTTACTCTACTATCGATTCTTGTCATTCCAAGGTTTTCCATTAGCTACTGTATATAATGAAAATCACTAGAGAGAAAACTTACCGATATCAAAACTGATAGGTTCGGATTCGAGAGGGTCCGAATTATGATTGTTGTCTTTGTCCCAAGGTCGGGAGCACAGATATCGTTCCACATTTACCAAAATTGAACAAACACTCATGATATTTCCGAGTATTTCCAGTGCGGAACTGTTCCTGTATACCGGTATGTTTAATCGATATGTGTCTTGTTAAACGAGACTAGATAATTTAGTAAGGTTTATACAGTGATGTTACTAGTATAATGAAGACTACAATGGCGCGTGCCACCTGATATTAAATATTAAGATGCTACAATTGGTATAATTCTTCATTTCCGATATTATATTGACTAAAATGTTATTGTCTCAAAGGACTTAATAAAAAAATAGATGAGGGACGTTTTATTGACTATACCAATATTATGGCATTAACTTAATTACATTATTTTGCCTTGATTATTACATTCCTAGTCCGATCTTATCGAATTTAATAAACTTTA